TTTATTTTTGGTGTCAGTACTTATCCCATCAAACCCCAGCTTTTACACTGAGTGCAAGGTTGTTATGCTCCATAACTGGGGAAAATCAACCTGTCCTATATTATGCCCCTTTTTATTGTGTCTATTCTTTCAACTCATACTTTATCCGCACAGAATGCGTTTGACCCCAGAGTTGGATATTGCCGCTCACAGGATATATTGATGGCAAGAGAGACACGAGGCTCACAGCATATAACCTAGCAAACGAGATTGTGCAAATGATTGGCTGAAGAGAGATCAGTAAACAGCACATAGGTTGGAATATCTTTTCCATGTATAATACTGTCCTGGGTAAGACGATAAACTACGCCCGCGTCCTGGGTAAGACGATAAACAACGTCCGCGTCTTGGATAAGACGATAAACTAAGTCCGCGTCCTGGGTAAGACGATAAACTACGTCCGCGTCCTGGGTAAGACGGTAAACAACGTCCAACAGCAAGGCCTCTGATCGGGAGGTTTTGAGGAGCGTGGAACCGCCACTTAATTGCTGGTGTTCCTATGTCCACCCTGACCGGAGGTTGTAGCACCTGTTAGGGTCCTAGCTATGGGCAATTTTTTTTGGTGGGGGGGGGGAAATATTATGAAAGTGTAAAAATAGGTTTTAATAACAGATATAGTTTGTAAAAAAAAATATTACCAGTAATACATTTTTGAAAAACAAATATTGCCAGCAATATATTTTCTGAAAAAAATATTACCAACGAAGGAAATTTCTTAGCAGAAATAGATTTTTGAAGGAAAAAATATTACCAGAAATAGAGTTTTGGAAAAAAAATATATTATCAGCAATGAAAATTTTGTTGGCATTAAATATCGGATTGATGTTGGTATGCCGTAAAACAAACCAAACCAAACCAATCTATGTATAATGTGACTTGAAAGTCTTTCACCCATTACCAAAAAGTAATGACCACAAAAGTACGAGTAATACAAAGCACATGTATTGGATTCAGTTTATTCGCTTTCATTGACGCTGTAACCCTCATTTTTCGTGGCACAAAATGATATGGCGTCATGTCCGATGTGATATTTTATGAGGCTGCGTCTTTCAGCTGGTGGGTATTTTGATATCTCTCATATGAAACTCTCTCCCTGATCTTACCAGAATGCACACGACCATATTTGCATGCAATTACAAGCAGACTCTCTTCCAAACTGTAAATGTTCGTGTCAAAATTGAAAAATTATATCATGTAGGGGTGACAAAACTTTCGGACCACCCAGTAGTTTAAACTTTTTTTTTTTCATGTCGAATTTTAACCGATGCCTTTTGGTTTCCCATTATTAGGGAACAAGTTAAAATAGAAAGAAACATAGTAGCTTTTAATGCGCAAATATGCTAACGATCTTATGAATGATGCTGAGAATACCATTAAGTGAACATGAGTGCAACAAGGGATTTAAGAGAAGAATGTATAACATCAGAAAGAAACTGTTGAAATATCTAGGGTACATAATGAAAAATGATGGTTTCGATAATTCGATACTTCTATGACATACTCAGGGCGAGAAGGGCGGATGAAAACAGCGTATAAACTACCTGACGGGCTTGTGTAAATGGCTGGCAGAAAAGTGTTTAGGAAGGATAGCAAAAAGACAAAATTCGCTAAGAACTTCAATAAAAAAAAAAAAAAAAACATGATATTGTGGAGAGCGGTGATCGCGAACATCCTGGAGAAGAAGAAGAAGAAGAAGAAGAAGAAGAAGAAGAATTGCAAACGCAACTTAATTCTCTTCAAACACTACTGTTGTAGAGTAGTTTTCAAAGTGGAGGCTTGTATTTCACTAAGTCGTCCTAAATTAGGTTCGCCGTACAAAACGTTAGGAACTTGAAATAAGAGTTAATGACGCAGCAATCTAGTTGTGATGTTTGATACTTCAATGTCCGACATCGACTGACTCGTTCAACACCACTGAGCCCAACTGGCGACTGCTACTACTACTTATTATATGTGGGAGAGTCTATTAATAATAAAATAGGTATTATGGTATAACAACTACAGAATTTATATATTCATTCTAATCTCCTTTCTATTTTTCAAAATATTCGGTTGACCTAAAAGTTTGTCGGGTTATTAATCACGAAACATATTTTAATACACCGAACAAACATTTTGACCAACCCAATATTTTTTTCTCTTACTCTTCAGGTCGTATCGATCATGGCTCTCCACAGTTTCCTATCCTTTGTAATTCTTAATAATTAATTTGTCTTTTGTTATTTCTCCTAAACCCTGTTCCACCATCCATATACTCAAGCTATGTTACGCATTGTTTTCATCTGTCCCTCTTGCCTTCTCTCTTCCCTGTGAGTATCAGATTTTCTAAGCTCTCTTTCTTCATAATATGCCCTCGAAACCACAACCGTTTCTTTCTGATGTTAGGAATTAGTTTGATTATTGTTTCTATTCTCTCTAAAAACGCCGTCTCTTATGCATGTATTGAGGAAAGATATTGCTTAGATGGAAATTAGTTGTAGGCACAGTACGAAGTCTATCTGTATAGAAAGAGAGGGCTTCAGAGATAAAATATAAATTTACGTCTGAGCAATATTTTTCCCAATACATATTGTCCATCTCCTTTTAGCGTTAATTCTATTTAATTTATTAACCTCCATTTAGCTCTGTTGAGCGAAGTTTGAAACCGGTTAGCTAGCCCGTTTTTCAGCTTTACTTTTTATCTATTACCATCATGAGTGGTAATAAAATAAATTTTCTCTTTTCATGGCGGTCATAAAATTCTGTACCACAAACTATATCTTTTAGCCTTTTGATGTGATTAATGAATGACGAGATGAAATCGCTGTGTTTATATATATTTATTTTATTTCCAAGTACTTTCGACATATACATGTCATCATCAGGATATTGTTTAAATAAAATGAATATTATAGTATCAGAATTTTCATTAGTTATTTCAATCTATCTTTCTCACAAGGCTACATTTATAATTCCAGGTATCGATGCTCTGGCAAGCTGATTGATCGTGTAGCTTAAAATGCGTATATTTCAGCAGCAGGTCTTCATTAATATCGATAACTGTAATTATTAGTGTGGGCCTTTTGAGAAGACAAATTGAAATAACTAATGAAGAAATTGATACGCTACTTAAAAGTTGAAGAAAAGAATACCTTTTAAAATACCACTATGATAAATGCAAATATATACACTATATAAAACAACAATAGATAATGCAACATACTTAAGACAAACTGAATACCTTTAAATGAATAAATAAATAGAATCACCAACATTCTAGAAAAAAATCTGAATAAATAAACAAATTAAGCAAATTATAAACAAATTAACAAACTATGAATGTACACATATTTTTGGTATATCGGGTCCGTACCGATCCTTCAGAGTCTGTCTATATTTCTGAGATGAGGTATTATGTACAGTATTTCATCGTACAACGGCCGAAACGTTGTGACTAATATGGCGACAAAGATGAGGACAATAGTCCGACTAATGTAAATACTGTATGAATGTACACATAAACACAAATAAATGAAATAATAATAAACAACAAGAGAAGGCATACTCTTATCTAATAAGATTTATTGAATACTAGCAGCATGGTCAGGCGTTGCCCGTGCTTGATTCAAAAATCGTACGACTCATATAACAATCGCAATCACCGGACTTAAAATATTTTGCCCTCCCTTGCCTTTAAAGGAGTGCCCTTTGCCGTGCTGATGTTAACACATGCCTCACTTCTTGCCTATCTCACACTGCGATTTTTTCTAAGCTCTATACTAAACATTAAATCTGTTACGAAAAAGAACTAAACAAAATGAACACAAAACGATCAGCTTTTAAAAAGAACTCGTAACTGGAAAAACCGAATGAAAAAAAGAATGTTAACAACAAATACTTTTTCACACCTAACCCAGTTCTGCTGAATCAGAATCAACGTTGAGTTTAAGCAAGCGAATGAGCCAATTGGAGTAAAGTGCCATGCAGATTTTAATTTTTCCCACTTGTGACGAATGCAGCTATTGAATTTTTTTGCATGCTAGCATGCTAGTTAACATTCGTGTCAGTCAGATGTTGGCTCTCACGCTGGCCAATAGAATCTTCCTGCCTATTCGTGGCAGACAGCTATAGGCTCTCACTCTGGCCAGTACAAAATGGCCGCAAACTACATGAAAACTGCCGTAGAAGCATGAAATAATCGATTATTTCCACTATCGATGAGAGTTGGGAAATGCAAAGTCGATCTTGGCGTTCCCACTAATGTGCATGTTAATTTTTGTGCAAATCCGTCGAAAATTGCGGCCGTGCATTCGTTACACACACACACACACACACACACACACACACACACACACACACACACACACACACACACACACACACACGCGCGCTTACTGCCTTTTATAGATAGAGATTCAAGGCCGGTAGAGGAAAATAAATAAATATACTGTTTAATAACTAAACAAAACGTCTACTCAAACATGAGCATCCACTAAAAACAGCGTTTAAAGTTTAAAGAAATAACTAAATATAATAAATAAAAAATCTCTCCCTTTGCTTAGAAAATTTTATTATAAAACCTTTCCATGTATTCACGTTGACTGGATTTGTCTGCCCTTTGTTTCTCGAATAAGTCACCAGATGGCCTCCTTCCGAATGTACCGTCTTTCTTACATATTGGTTTTAACTAAAACAGAAAGAGAAGCCTATTATATATTTTTCACTAAGAGAGAAATAACAGAAGAGACGACTATGTTGTTGCAAACTGAAGCTAAATTGAGAGCTTCAAGTAACGCATCACTTAAATAAAAATATTAAATTCATTCCTCTTTGAAAACCATTTAAGTACATTTATTTATTTGATTATGAAAAGCTTTAAAATTCAGATAAATCAAGCTGCTGTTGCGTAAGCGCAACAATATAGTCATTTCGAGGGGCATTCTTTCTAATACTTTTTTTCTGTCTGTTTATTTGGCTTTCAGATTCCTATATCTTTCTTTCCCCCGTTTGGACATTTTTCCCTATATTTGCAATACTTTCTTGTCGGTATTTCATTATTATTTTCACTCGCTTTTTTTTCTTTTTCTTTTTCTTTCCTTTCAATTTTTCTTTTTTTTCTTTCCTTTCTTTTTTCTTTCTTTTTTCATTCCTTTTTTCCTTCCTTTTCTTTTTTCTTTCTTTTTTCTTTCCTTACCTTTTCCTTTTTTCTTTCCTTTCCTTTCCTATTCTATTTTCTTTCCTTTTTCATTCCTTTTCTTTTTTCTTTACTTTTTTCATTCCTTTTCTATTTTTCATTTTCTTTTTTCATTCCTTTCCTTTTCTTTTTTCTTTCCTTTTTTCTTTCATTTCATTTTCTTTTTTCTTTCGTTCCCTTTTCCGTTTTCTTTCCTTTCCTTTTCTTTTTTCTTTCCTTTTTTCTTTCATTTTCTTTTCTTTTTTCTTTCCATTCCTTTTCTTTTTTCTTTCCTTTTTTGTTTCCTTTCCTTTTCTTTTTTCTTTCCTTTCCTTTTCTTTTTTCTTTCCTTTCCTTTTCTTTTTACTTTCCTTTTTCTTTCCTTTCCTTTTCTTTTTTCTTTACTTTTTCTTTCCTTTCCTTTTCTTTTTTTTCCATCCTTTTCTTTTTTCTTTCCTTTCTTTTTCTTTTTTCTTTCCTTTCCTTTTCTTTTTTCTTTCCTTTTTCTTTCCTTTCCTTTTCTTTTTTATTTAATTTCCTTTTCTTTTTTCTTTCCTTTTTTCTTTCATTTCCTTCCCTTTTCCTTTTTCTTTCCTTTCCTTTTCTTTTTTCATTTCTTTTTTGTTTCCTTTCCTTTTCCTTTTTCTTTCCTTTTTTCTTTCATTTCCTTTTCTTTTTTGTTTCCTTTCCTTTTCTTTTTTCTTTCCTTTTTCTTTCCTTTCCTTTTCTTTTTTCTTTCCTTTCCTTTTCTTTTTCCTTTCCGTTTTACTTTCCTTTTTTCTTTCCTTTCCTTTTCTTTTTTCTTTCCTTTTCTTTTCTTTTTTCTTTTCTTTTTTCTTTCATTTCCTTTTCTTTTTTCTTTCCTTTCATTTTCCTTTTTTCTTTCCTTTCATTTTCCTTTTTTCTTTCCTTTTCTATTTTCTTTCCTTTTTTCATTCCTTTTCTTTTTTTCTTTCCTTTTTTCTTTCATTTCCTTTTCTTTTTTCTTTCCTTTTCCTTTTCTTTATTCTTTCTTTTCCATTTCTTTTTTCTTTCCGTTCCTATTCCTTTTTTCTTTCCTTTCCTTTTCTATTTTCTTTCCTTTTTTATTGCTTTTCTTTTTTCTTTACTTGTCTTTTCTTTTTTCTTTCGTTTTTTATTCCTTTTCTTTTTTCTTTCCTTTTATATTCCTTTTCTTTTTTCTTTCCTTTTTTTCTTTCGTTTCCTTTCCTTTTTTTTCCTTTTCTTTTTTCTTTCCTTTCCTATCCTTTTTTCTTTCCTTTTTCATTCCTTTTCTTTTTTCTTTCCTTTTTTCTTTCCCTTCCTTTTCTTTTTTCTTTCCTTTTTTCATTCATTTTCTTTTTTATTTCCTTTTTTCTTTCATTTCCTTTTCTTTTTTCTTTCCTTTTTTTCATTCCTTTTAATTTTTCTTTCCTTTTTTCTTATCTTTCCTTTTCTTTTTATTTTTCCTTTCCTTTTCTTTCTTCTTTCCTTTTTTATTCCTTTTCTTTTTTCTGTCCTTTTTTCTTTCATTTCCTTTTCTTTCCTTTCCTTTTCTTTTTCTCTCCTCTTTTCATTCCTTTTCTTTTTTATTTCCTTTTTTCTTTTATTTTCTTTCTTTTCTTTTTTCTTTCCTTTTTTCATTCCTTTTAATTTTTCTTTCCTTTTTTCTTACCTTTCCTTTTCTTTTCATTTTTCTTTTCCTTTTCTTTCTTCTTTCCTTTTTTTATTCCTTTTCTTTTTTTCCTGTCCTTTTTTCTTTCATTTCCTTTACTTTCCTTTCCTTTTCTTTTTTCTTTCCTCTTTTCATTCCTTTTCTTTTTTCTTTCCTTTTATCATTCCTTTTCTTTTTTCTTTCCTTTTTTCTTTCATTTCCTTTTCTTTTTTCTTTCCTTTCTTTTTCATTTTTCATTCCTTTCCTTTTCTTTTTTCTTTTTTTTCTCCTTGCCTTTTCTTTATCTTTCCTTTTTTTCTTTCCTTTTATCTTTTTTCTTTTCTTTCCACTATTCCTTTCCCATTTCTCTTTCTTTTTTTCTCCTTTCTTTTATCTTTCTTTTCCTTTTTCTTTCCTTTTCTTTTGTTTCCTTTCCTTTTTTCTTTCCTTTCTTTTTTTCTTTTCTTTCCATTTTTTCCTTTACTTTTTCTTTTTTTCCTTTTTCTTTCCTTTCCGTTTTCTTTCCATTTCTTTTTCTTTTTCCGTCCTTTCCTTTTCTTTTTCTTATCCTTTCATTTCCTTTCCTTTTTTTCTTTCTTTCCTTTTCTTCCTTCCTTTCCTGATTTCTATCCTATCTTTATACTTTCCGTGCTCTATTTTTTTCCTTCTTACCTGTATCATATTTGACTTCTGGTTTTATCCATTCATCTGTCTCGCGACGTAGCTCACATCTGCGTTGTCATCATTTCTCTCTCTTTTTTAACTCCTCCTTCTATCGTCTTACTTCTTTTCGTTCTTTCTTTCTGAATTTGTGCTCTTTCCGTATTTGTTCTTTGTTCTACTTTTTTCTTTCTATCTTTTTTTTCTTGCTTTTATCCTGTTTTTATGTATACTTTTGTCTCGATTCTCATCTCGTATCTACCCTACATTTGTGCAGTTTCCGTCTTTATTCATTGACTCTTTTTCCTCTTTCATTCATTCATTCATTCATTAAGTCTTTTCTTTCTTTCGCATTTTAGTCTGCTTTTTATCTATTTTTATTCTCTGCCTTTTCATCTGTCATTTATTTTTATGTTTTGTTTATTTTCTCGACTTTATCTCTTTAAATATTTCCTTAAACATTTCTTTCTTTCTCTTGTCTTTCGTGCTTCAGTTTCTTTACTTTATCTTTTTTGATGCCTTTTCCCTATTTTATCTCTTTTTTTTTTCTCCCTCTTTCCAGTTGTTCATTCATTCCATCTCACTTTGTTCTTTCTTTCTTTTTTCTTTCTTTCTTTCTTTCTTTCTTTCTTTATTTTCTTATCTTTTCTTTCTTGCTTTCTTTTCTTATTTTCTCTTTCTCTCGCCAGTCTATATCTTCATACTGATCGTTTTATATTTGTCGGAATTTGTCTATTTTCTTGAATTTTCTGCTTTCTCCCCTCCCTTTATCTGTCCATGCATTTATTTATTCATTATTTTTTCTTTCTTTCTTTTATTGCTCTTTTTGCTCTCTCTCTTCCTCCATTATCTCTTCATCATATTTTCCGTGTTTTCTCGAATTTTCTGCTATTTTCCTTCTCTTATGTAATCCATCCTTGCCATATTTCGTTTTTTTTTTCTTTTTTTCTTTTCTTTTACCACCTGTCTCTCTACTTCCGCCCTTTCTTATTGTTTCCCCCCTATTTTTTTTCGATTTTTCTGCTTTATACTTTGTGTTATTCAGTTCATTATTCCCATCTTTCTTTTGCTTTCTATCTTTCTTCTCTTGGCTTTTTCTCTTTATGTCTCTTTTCTGGCCTCTCTCCATTCCCATCATTTCATGCCCTTTTTCAATTTCTTCATTACACTCTCATATTCCTCTCTTTCTCTTTATCTCTATCTATTCTCGCCATTTACGTTCTTCTGTCATACAATCCTACTCTCTTCGGGTTGCCGTACACCTCGGCAGCAATGCGATCGCATCACCCGCGTGTGCTCACCTAAGCGAAACCTGTTACGCTGATTTAAGTTAATAAAACAAATATCCTGGGGCCGTCTCCGTGGAAGGGATGAGAATTTCGCCTGCAATACACGGGACCGCGGCAATTCGTTGACTCGCTTGTTTGCTGCAAGCCACTTCGACACAGATAACAAAATTGTTAGCTCAGCAAACGGCCGAGAAAACTCGAAAGAGCCTTGAAGCATAAATAAAGACTTTACTCAAGGGAGAAATGGCTTGGAAAAATTGGTCAGGTCGGATAAGTGGTCGAGTGTCGAAATCGGTTTGATTAATAATGTTATTATTAGTAGTAGCAGTGGTAACAGTGGTGGTATTAGTAGTAGTACTAGTAGTAGTAAAAATTGCAGTTGAAGTTAGTTTCACGTGGTTACCAAAGCTTTTATTGGCTAACCCAAAACTTCTCACCCTTTTAGATATCAAACGTTTTATTTGAAGGTTGTAATAGTTAAGGATGTATTCTAGTTGACCATTAGTTGAGAGTTCGAACCTTAGTGAGGGCTTCATCACTCTCAACATCATCCGACCGTAGTCAGGATTATCGAGCCAATGTGAACGATCCTTTCTTTATCTAGCCAGGGCTACATACAGTTTTGAATTCAGTGTTACTTTCTCCTAGATAGGTTGCCACCCAAGACTATAGAACCTAATCTGTCCTACTGGTTACATTCGATACTTTGTTCGGTATTTTGTCAATTCTTCATTTTATCTTTCGACACTTTGTCCTTCGTCATTTTGCATTTCGACACTTTGTCGTTCGACAATTTCTGCTCATGGCATCTGTAGAAAACCTACGTCCAACAAAAGACCTTCACAACGTGACAATAAGAACCCAGAAGCACTGATGTATAATCAACGATTATTTGCTACTAACATTATATGTATCTTATAATTCTTTTATATCGACCATTGCCTGTGGCTATACATTCTTATCCTTCCCCTATCCAATATAGATTTTTCGTCCAATATTGAACTGAAATATTATCCAAACAAGAATTCATATCAGAAGGTGGCCCCGGAATGGACAAAAACGTTTTCTACTTTATTTTCTCTTATGCTCAATCCCTATACCTTCTTTTGCGTTCCTTGTGCTCATGGCTCTCCATACCTTCCTCTATTTGACCCTTAGTTTTTCTACATTTTCTAAAGCCACGGTCCATCGTTTCGACATCCATTGACACATGTGCGTTAGACTTGCTGCCTCCCCACCTCAATATGCACCGTGAAGGGTTAACTTTTCCAAATCCTACTTCTTCATTATGCGTCCTAGGGATTTCAGCGCTTCCTTTCAGATTTCGAGCATCAGTCAATTATGTGATACATGCTTAGGCGATCATGTACCTTTCGATACATGACTGACGAGGCAGATTTTTTTCCCGCAGTCGGTTGCCATTTCTTTCTGCAGTAGACCAGTTGCTATCGAAGGCTATAGAACCCGGTCTATCCTGCTATTTACCCATAGCTGGGAGGGAGAAGTGGATTGATACTTTTCCCAAGGGTATTAACGCCTAATTGAATGCAGTAGATACGACTGGAATTCGAACTTGGATCTCCAATTCCTGCATCCGCTCGATATCCATTACTCCGTCATGTGTCCTTTATAATTCTACCAACCCCACATCTCCGATTTATACTGTGTTCCAGTAGGTTAAATTAACCTAAGTCTTGTTAAATATGCACTTAATGCACTGTCCATTTTTGAAGGTACGTGTTCACTCAATCTATTTTTGCATGTTGTGTACAAGGTTTAGTCAAAATTCAAACTCTCTGGAAATGGTAATTGAAAAATTAGCCGTTACCATATTATTCAGTATTCACTGACCGATCACTTAGTACCTGCATGGCTTACATGCACACTTTTGTCGTCATCTTTGTTGGAACACAGAGTTTCGGCCAATGCGCTTTGTTGGAACACAGAGATTCGGCCATTATCCATTGTTGGAACACAGAGTTTCGACCATTCTGCTTTGGAGGAAGACAGAGTTTCGGCCATTGCGCTTTCATCCGATGTATATCTACCGGGTAACCTAAATGGAATTTCTTACATAACCTATTAATCTATGTTGATTTCCAGAAATATTTCTTCTCAAACATCTCTATTTCTCTAAATGTTTTTACTGAACACACATGTTTGTGTTGACGCCCTGTTCTCGTTCTACTGCTCATGTAGTTTTTTTTTATTTTTAATAATGCTCAATTATTGTTTGATTCAGTACTCACTGCGTGAACCAGGGATTGATCTCACATTTTTATGTCAGCAAATTCACTCGGCTTAATTCACTCGGCTGTCCCGTGGGACAATTTTATGTAGGAAATTGGAGCCTTAAACCTAAATTACCTGCTAGATGCGTAATACCATGAATTGACCATTAGTCAGGGTGACATAATATGGGGATTGATGACGCATTTAGATTTTTGAAGATCGTAGGTGAAAAGGAATCAAAAACCTGAAGAGATTTCCACAGGCGATAAGTTCAAGAAAAAACAATCTAGAATATAATTTAGGGTTACATCTAGGTATTTCAAGACGAAAAACGAGGAGACCTAATTGCCACTCGAGTAGGTCAAATTCATAAGCTAGAGGTATCAAGAAGACTCATTGGAACTCTTAGAGAGAGGGAGGAACATAAAGACGGTGTGAAAGAGATGTCACGTTAGGATCTATAACATTTACATGTTGTTAAGGATCCGCGATATGTATAGCAGCAGCAATAATCAAATGGTAGATTTATAAGCGTGCAAGATGAATTCCGGCGATCAAAAATGTCTAGCACGAAACAGTGAAACAAATTTCCTAGCAATAGACCTCCTTAATGATTCACTATAACCATACAACTTCATGTCAGTGTTATACTGGAACACACCTATTCTGTTGTTAATAGACTCTCCCACCTATAATAAGTAGCAGTCACTAAGTCGCTCAGTGAGTCGGTCTGAGTTCAGTCTGAAGTCGGACGACCAACTGACCGGTTGAACTATCTGCCTTCGGGCGGGGAGGAACCCGAACGAGGATACGCCGAAGGGCGGAGTCTCTTTCTGGGAGGTAAACCGATCCTGAACCCGTTTATACGGGTTTTAAAAGGGCATATTTTTGGCCGAGCCCATGGGCTCGGAGATCTCACGTTAAACCGGCCTTGTGCCACATGATGCCCTCGTGGAGGCGGTGAATGAATATCGCTCAGTGAGTTGGTCAGTCAGTCGATGTCGGACGACCATTAGTCGGATAGTAAGAGTATCAGCGACTACCACTAGATTTCTCTGCGTCATTACCTATTATATCAAGTTCCTAACGTTTTGTACGTCGAACCTATTTTAGGGCCAACTTAGTGAAATGCAAGTCTCCACTGTGAAACTACTCTACAACAGTCAGTAAATGTCTTTTCGACCCAGAAGGGGTATTCAGTTGCTCACCCGGAGGTTAGCTTCAGTCATGCTGATGGAAGGCAAAAGTGTTTCACTACGTTAATTAAAAGACATTTTTAGAGGCGTTCAAATTTACGACACATTTCTTGTCCCTACTAGCAACAGATTACATTATTTACATTATTCGGACTATTGTCCTCATCTTTGTCGCATTATTTATCACAACGTTTCGGCCGTTGTACGCTCCGGCCTTCTTCAGATGGTTGGAATGTCGAACTGAACCCTTTATTTCGCTCACCGGGGTAGACTGTTCTAGTTCTACGTGCCATGTTTAATGGATGTCAGTTATCAGTTATCACCTGTTAATTTCCCTCTGAAAGTTCTCCACTGCCTTAACCGGGTACTGAACTCACACTCTTTGGGTCCTGTCACTGGATCTAACCAACGCCTTTTCCACTGTGCTATATATATATATATATATATATATATATATATATATATATATATATATATATATATATATATATATATATATATATATATATATATATATATATATATATATATATATATATATATATATATATATATATATATATATAGGCAGCATTTTTCATTCATACATGTTTCATTAAATAATATAGACAAGTGTTGCCTATTGTCATCTTTGATAATGGCTTCTGTAAGCCGAAAGCTTAGATTGGATTAAAAATATGAATCAATATTGTGACTTTCTTTCTTCGTTTAATAATAATGTTATTAAGCTTATCAGACGTTATTAAAAGAATTTACATAAAATAAATAGACAGCACTTGTCTATATTATTTAATGAAATATATATATATATATATATATATATATATAAATATATATATATATATATATGACGTGCTGTTAGTGCTGTTAACTATTTAGACATGGAGAAGCCTCTGTTTAGCATAGTCGGAATATTTAAGATAGAGAGTATAATAGAAAAATGAAAATTGGAGAGAAAGAAAAAGGGAAAAAAATGAGAAATATAATATATATTTAGCAATGATGATAGAAGAGAAGAAGAGCTAAAGAAAGAAAAAAAGAATATAAATGGAGAAATAAAAAAAATGTGGTGAAAAGAAAAAGAAAAGAAAAGAAAAAGAAATATGAAAGGAACAAAGCAAAAAAAGTAAACAAAAAGAGAGAAAGGTAGCGGAAAAGGAGCAAAATTAAAAAGATACTAAGAAGGCAAGAGAAACAAAAATGGTTAAATTAAGCCAGCAAATACTAAAAAGCGAAAAATAGTAACTCTGTAACAAAGGAAGAAAAATTCTATCGAATTGGAGAGTAACATACAAAAGGGAGAGTAAGATACAAAAGGGGGAGTAATGATGAAAAGCAAGAAACTAAAAGCACCACGTAGAGAATTCAAACAGAGCCGATTATCAAATAAATATTATTTAACCTGAGTTCATTTCTCATTGTTTATTCACCAAGCATTCCAAGTGCAATTTTTTCTTTAAAAATAAAAAAAATAATGCGCATAGTTATCTCCAGAAAACCATGGTCTGTTTTAAAAAACACTTCTGGCTACAAAGCAAAGTTGGTCGTAGTGCATCTGAATAACGCTTTCATTCGTGTTCATTTTATATATATATATATATATATATATATATATATATATATATATATATATATATATATATATATATACAATAAAACTAAAAACTGGATTTTGCCACGTGCGTGAGTAGGCACCGAGGCACAAAGCGAAAGAGTCCTGAGATATTTTTCAAAGAGGATGATTTCTTAAAAATGATTATTTTTTTGGCTTTTTTTTTTTGGATTTAACTCCGATTTAACATAGAAAATTTCTTTTGTCCCTTGTGAATTTTTAGGTTCGCAGGGCATTTGCAGAAACAGCTAACTGTTTAATTTAAAGAAACAAAAAAAAAGTGTTTTGCCAAATCTGATAACTGTGTATTTTATTCATTTTATTTATTTATTTATTTTTTTTTCAATTAAGAATCCACTCTGTTAGCCGGTCGCTTTCGGAGTGTGTGTATGTGTGGGGGATTAACATATTATTCTCGAAGTCAGTTGCTGCTATAACCCGTACAATCCCTACTCGATATCCAAGTTTTAAGTCCATGCCAGCATTATGGTATGCTTACAAAATATCAGTCTTTAGGAAGGACCATTTTTAGAACATTATCGTTTTAGTGAACCTGATTTTCACTGGGTGCTGCATATTTCCAGGCATTTCTTGAAACAGCCTAATCTTAACAGATACTGGTTGATCATTTTAATACAAAGAAGAATCAGCAATATTATTGGTCCTGACCTGGTGTTTCGGCCCCAGTCAATTTCCCATCAGAGTAAAGCTGTTTCCCTGTGCCCTTTCTATAAATACTTTAATGGCAATTATTCGGATGACCTTTTCGCTATGGTACCTAGATCTTACGAATTTAAGTGAATTATTGGATTGGCAACAAGATCTCATTAATCTACAGTTGAATTAGCTCAATGTAACCGTAAATTCTATGCTAACAGTTTCTTCTCTTACACTTACTGCATGCGGATCTCTCTTCAAAAATTCAAATGACTTACAATCGTTATCGACTGTCTTCTTGATTCCTCCTATATTATTGTTTCCTCAATAAGGTTTCTTTTTTTTTTGTTTATTATACCTTACCTATGAACACAAATAGGTATGTCCAAATCCTCATAGGACGTTGTTGTAGGTGGGGATAATATGCTGTCTAAGTAATCCACAACTAGCAGTGGTTTACCTAATTTACGCCGCTGGCGATTATTGTTTATTTGTTGATGTTAAAAAGATTAACATTTCATTTTCAACCTCCGTTTCAGTAATCTTTTCTAGGTTACAACACTGTTTATATCAATAGGTTTTTCTATCTATCTATCTATCTATCTATCTATCTATCTAACTTCACCAATATTTTTATCTATCTATCTATCTATCTATCTATCTATCTATCTATCTATCTATCCTCACCAATATGTTTATCTATCTATCTATCTATCTATCTATATATCTATTATATACCGTACCTATGAACACTAATGGGTATTTCCAATCCTCATAAATACGTTGCACACTATTGTAAATGGGGGTAATATGTTGTCTCATAGTTCACCACTAGTAGTTGTTTACCTCGTTCACGCCGCTGGCGAGTATTGTATTTTGTTGATGTTATAAAGTTTGCCATTTCATTTCTAAACTCTGTTTTGATTATTCCTCATTCAGTAATATTTTCTGGGTTACAGCATTTTTCTTATTCTTTCACACTCAATAACCCTTAGTGTCTTACTGGGTTTACCGTCTTGATAGGGGAGAAATCATTAAAAAAAAAAAAGAAAAAAAAAAGGAATATTCATAAAGTGGCAAATGTTGCTTAGAACAACTATAGACAGGAAGTCGTGGATAGCCATGATCGTTCAGGTAAAGAAAGGACGTGGTGTGTGAATTATGCTGATGTATGTGAATAACTTGTCACACAGTATTGTGAATTCTTTCTTTTCGTTCCTTTGTTTCCCCTGTAGGTAACTTCTCTCATACTAAAAATTTCGCTAGAAACAAAGAAAAAAATACGGAACTGTAATATCGGTCCTCCTGTATGGCAGTGAATTATGGAACATCTAATCAAAGACAAAGGAGAAACTTGAGCTAACAGTACTGTGGTTCTACAGTAGGACGCTGAGCAACGACGAAGTTTTAAACACAATGGGAAAAAAAGAGGCACTTATAATGAACACTAGAAGTGTTACCTTAAATTTCTAGGGCACACAATGAGGAAAGAAGGCTTGAAAAATTTGACACTCACAAGGCATTTTGGATACAATAAGGGGCAGGGCATATACTACCTAGACACCTTGTGTTACGTGTTGGCAGGACAGTGGTTACGAGCGATAGCAAAAGAACAAAATTTACTCTAAGCTAAAAAGGATGGAGAATTGTGTAGAACCAGGTGCAGGCTCGTCCTTAAGGGAAAAGGGGGGAATGAAGTAGAAAGAAAGAAGACTATGCAGAAAAGAACAAAAAAGAATGAAGAAGAGAAATAAGTAATGTGTGGGAGAAGATAAAAAATTAGGAAAAACAGAGAATGAAGAATAGGGAAAAGTAAAAAGGTATGTGTAGAATAGAAGAAAAGAATGAAGAGAAATAAGGAATAAGTGCAGAAGAAGAAGAAGAATCGGAGAAGAAGAAGAAGAAGAAGGGGAGAAGAAAGATATAATGAATGGAACAGAGAAGAAGAAGAAAGCAAGCATATGTATAATTGTCTTCAAATTAATCTTGCGTTAATTCGAACCTCTACCAAGAAAGTGAGCAAGAAACATCATACTTATTATAAAACCCAGGTTGTGTGAGTGTGTGTTTGTGTGTGTGTGTGTGTGTGTGTGTGTGTGTATGTGTGTACGTTTATATATGGGATCGGATTTCCTACATTTTTCAACCGATTTCAACAAAACTTCACAGGACTACGTAAAATTACCTTGCGGTGGTTCTAACAGCGCCAAAAATTGGAAAAAACACAATTGTTTTTGCAGTAAATCAATATGAAAACACGATTAAGAGTCATCGCGAGAATGAAAGGGTGACAACTCATATCGAGTTATACTTATCATAAAACCCAGTTTGTTTGTGAGTGTGTGTCTCTGTTCGTTTATATATGGGATCGAATTTCCTACATTTTTCAACCGATTTCAACAAAACTTCACTTTTTTGGCAGGTAGTGTTTTATATTGTCTTTCACACTTTTTTCTTTATTTTAACATTCAGAATGTTTTAAAAATTCCATTTACAAGACAATTGTTTATAATAAAATTCTATTCAATCGGTAGACTCATAACGATTGAAAACAATGTTTTTGTTTTAGTTTGGGTTTGACCAATTCGTAAAAAAAAAAAAAAAAAAAAAAAAAACTATTTAAGAGATGCGTGTCCGTCAACCTTAAACAATAATCTTTGTCAATTTTATTTTTCAGTCTTTATGATGGTCGATACTTGATCTATCTCTTACTGTTACATCCCCGGACAACGCCGGGCTCTACTGCTAGTATCTACTATACGTGAATTCTGCTAATTTTTTTATGTACAGAATTTGATTTTCAATGATTAAATGAAGCTGAGCGCATTGGCATTACTATTATTATAAAAATGGTAGATAGCAATATATCCCAAAAAAAGAGAGACGTATTTTATATACACTGCGTAGTGTCCACGCCGTATGGGATAATCAGGGGCGGGGGCGGAGATTAAAACTGGAATCCCAAGAACATCTTAGAATGTAGATAAATACAAAGATTATTTGATGTGATTTTTAAGTATAAAAATAAATTGTATATATCGGCATTCTTTCTGTTTTAAAGAACAGGGATGGTGATGTTTTGGAGCCTGAATATAGCTGATACGTAGTACATGGGTTGTTTTATTCCTTAACAACAACGTGGAAAATTTAGACGTCACTATGAAACCACTCACTGCTGAAACGATTGTTAGTTAAACATCGTATTTAAACCGATTTCAGCTGTGATTACATCACCCATCCTTGGCACTGTATTTTTTTTTCATTAAGACCTTTTTAATAAACACTACAGCATTTAAAACCAATTGTGTAGCAAATATTAGACTGATATTTTAATCCAGTAAAACTTTATTTCATTAGGGAGATCAATGAAATTGGTTTGTGAATTCTTGAACCCAGTCGCTAATACTTTTATTAAGCGCTGGTGAAACTGAAAGTTTAAGGAGCCTCGAGTCTTGGGAATTTTGGTCGAAGGAATGAGATATTTCAGACAGAAATGAGAGAATAGTTAAGAATGTGATGAGTAATGATAAAGAAAATTCTAGAATATAAAATAAAATAAAAATTTCAAAAAATGGTCATAAACAGAAACTACCGCGAAAAATAAAAAAAAGAAATACACTTTTTTTTTATTTTTTATTTATGACTATACTAACCAGACACTGGAAAGCGGGTCAAAAGCTAGCAAAATTGATACTAACATCAGGGTGAGAAAGACATTAGCTGAAAATATATCTTGCATCGTCCGCCGCCGAAAATCTACGGTTTACCTAACAATAATGGATTTAGGAGATACTCTTTGTGCCACATGGAGACGAGTGAATCATAAATCATGTCACTGGGATCATGCTTGTTTTTTTGGGGGTTTTTTGTGTTGTTTTGCTTTTTTAGGGTACATTATTATCAGTAATATTTTTAACAGTCGTAAAGGTGATGGTATTGGGTAGTGTAAGGTAGACCGTTACCAAAAACTTATTTCAATACAATTCTTCTCTCTTTCCGTTTCTGCGGCAAAAATATTCAAGTCTTTTTCGATCTCTATGGCTTTTCGGAATATCTTCTTTTTTCATTTTTATTTCTTTCTTTTACTCTAACTGCTATTGACTAGATCATTTTTTTTTTTGTTTCTTATTTTTCTACGTGATTTCTAAATTTGATTTCCCTATCGTCATTTTCTCTTTTCTACGTTTCTGCATACGCTTATATTTTATTCTTCATTTCTTCTATTTGATTTTTTTTCTCGGGCTATATATATTTTTTTCTTTACTCTTTCTTTTGTTCGACATGCTCTTCAGGCTTTTTCTCTCCTGACTATATTTCTTATTTCGTTCTTACCGCAGACCAATTTCGAATTTAGTTCCTCTTTTTTTTTTTCTATTCTACACATTCTAATTACGTTACTACTCGTTCGTTCCGTTTATTATTTCTTTTTTTCTCATTCACCTTCTATTCTATATATTATTCTTCCTAATAGTTATACACCTTCTTCTTCGTATGTTTTATTCTCTATATTTTTCTCTATTGTTACTCGTCTGTCTCTTTTTTTCTTTTTTCTTCTCCTTCCTCAGTCAAATTTCATATTTTTCTCTTGGATTTTTCTTTGATTTTCTCCATTCTTTCCTTCTCCCTGTTTTTTCTGCAGTTTTTTCCTTCTTTTTAACACAGTCTTCTTGCTATTGCTACCTTTCCTATTGTTACTCTTCTTTTCCTTCTTTACATCTCATCTTCTTCTTTCAACTTCTTCAACGATATTAATTTATTTCTCTCCTTCATTTCTCCTTCTTAAGTTATACACTTATTCCTCCTTATTCTCTTGTCACTCTTCTTTTTTGCTTTTTCCCAATTCACGCCTGCTTTCTCCTTCTCTAAATATTTTTATTCTTGTCTACCTTCTATTCTTTATCTGCAGTATTATTCCTTATTTCTTTCCTTCATTCTCTTTCTTCTATTCTACAACTTCTTCCTTATTTTCTTGTTACTCTTCTTCTTTTTTATTTTTTTCTAATTCTCCTCCTTTCCCTTCTTATAATGTACAAGTTTTCTTGCTGTTCTTGTTATTTATTTATTTATTCCACTATCCTTCTTCATATATTTTTCAACGGCTTAAATCTTTTCTTCATTTTCCTTTTTCTATTCATACATCGACTTATTGTTTCCTTGTTACGTTTTTGCTTTTTCTAATTCTCTTCTTTCTCCTTCTATTTTACATATTTTTCTTGGTATATGTCTTTTTATTTATTTATTTTCCTTCTTATTTTTAGCCCTCAATCATATTTCTTAGTTTCTACTTTTTCTTCTTTGCGTAAATATTTCTTCCATTTTATCTGCATTTTATTCTTTTTTAGTCTCCCAATTTCCTTTCTTCATATTTGTCTATTTCTTCTGCTTCTTTATTTTTCTTCATTCTTTTTCTTCTATCCTACTTATTCTTTTTCCTTTTCCATATTTTTCATTTTCTCTTTTTTCTACTTTTCCTCTTATATTCGTTATTTCTCTTCATATTTTTCTTCTATTCTGCACACTCTTCTTCCTTTTTATATTCATTCTATTCTCCTTTTCCTCCTCCTCCTCCTCCTCCTCTTTCTTCTTCTTCTTCTTCTTTTTCATCTTCTTCTTCGTTTTCCACACTTATATTCCTTATTTCTCGTCAATCTTTTTCTTCTATTATACATAATATTTTTCCTTTTCCATATTCTTCATTATCTCCTTTTACCATTTCCTACTTTTCCTCTTCTCTCACACTTATTTCTCGTCTTCATTTTGTCTTCGATTCACTATACATTCTTCTTCCTTTTTATCTTCCTTCTTCCTTCTCTTTTACATTTATATTTCTTATTTTTCTTCATTTTTTCTTCTATTCTGCAAACTCTTCTTCCTTTTTTATATCCGTTATATCTTTCTTCTCCCCACTCTTATTCTTCCTGTTTTCTTCTTCTTCTGCACTTATTCCTTACTTCTCTTCATTCTTTTCTTCTATTCTACATATTTCTTTTTATTTTTCCCTTTTCTTCATTCTCTCTTTTTCCTACTTTTCATCTTCTCCCACACATTACTTATTTCTCTTCTTCATTCTTTTTTGTTCTTTTTCTGCATATTCTTCTTCCTTTCTACTTCATTCCCCCCTTTTCCCTTCTTCCTATTTCTCATCGTCGACTTGCCAATTCATATTTTTCTCCATCTTATTCTCATTTCGTTTTTCTTTTCACTTTCGCCATTTTGTCTTCTTTTCAAATAGTTTTCATCCATTTACTTCATTCCAGTATCTTGAAATATAGTATTTTCTTTTCATTTCATTCTCTAACGCGTCCTGGGTAAGACGATAAACTACATCCGCGTCCTGGGCAAGATGATAAACTACATCCGCGTCCTAGGTAAGACGATAAACTACATCCGCGTCCTAGGTAAGACGATAAACTACATCCGCGTCCTTGGTAAGACGATAAACTACATCCGCGTCCTTGGTAAGACGATAAACTACATTCGCGTCCTAGGTAAGACGATGAACTAGATCCGCGTCCTTGGTAAGACGATAAACTACATCCACGTCCTGGGTAAGACGATGAAAATCCGCGTCTAAGTAAAGAGGATCCACGTCCGCGTCCTAGGTAAGACGATGAACTAGATCCGCGTCTTGGTAAGTAAGATCCCGCGTCCTTGATAAGACGATAAACTACATTCGCGTCCTAGGTAAGACGGAAAGACGATGATAAACACATCCGCGTCCTAGGTAAGACGATGAACTAGATCCGCGTCCTAAGTAAGACGATAATCTATATCCGCGTCCTGGTTATGACGATAAACTACGTCCAACAGCTAGGCCTCTGATCAGGAGGTTTTGAGGGGCGTTGGACCACCTCTTAATTGCTGGTGTACCCAGGTCCACCCTAACTCGGGATGGTAGAACATGTTAGGGTCCCAGCTATGGGTAAATAATTAACCCCCAAACTAGGGTCAAAACACTATGAATATTTAAAATAGGTTTTAATACCAGAAATACTTTGTAAAAAAATTATTACCGGCAATACATTTTTGAAAAAAAAATATTACCAGCAATAAATTTTTAAAAAGAAAATATTACAAGTTAAGGAAAATTATAACCAGAAAGATTTTTTGGGGAAAAAAGAAATATTACCAGAAATAGATTTACGGTGAAAATGTTGCCAACAATGAAAATTTTGTCGGCATTAAATAACCCATTGAGGTTGATATACTGTAAAACAAAACAAAAGAAACCAGTCATTCTCTAACACTTCTCTTCTTGTCTGCATTACGGAACTCTTCTTTTTTTTTCATTTTCCTCTATATCTTTCTTCATTCTCCTAAACATTAATGCTTTCCCTATGCATTGCATCTTCATTTTCATCTTTCCTTTATTCCTCTCATTGGTTTTCTCGTTTTTTCACATCTCATTTCTCATTTTCTCATTTCTTAATATATATTTTTCAAATTTTATATCTTTTTAATATTTTTTTTTCCTTTTTCCTTTCCTTTTCCTTTCCTTTTTCTTTCCTACATTTGTCTATCCCCTTCTTTTTCTTCTTCATCTCTTCCTCTCTCTTCTGTATCTTTGTTCTTCTCTTACTAAGAGGAGTTATATTCTTTCTTTGTTTTTTTTTCCCTCCTACTCTTTCTTCTCTTTCTGCATTTATCTTTTCCTTCTCTTCACGTCATACAACTTCCTTCACATTCTTTTTTCTTCATCATATATATATTCAGGAGGACTAATACCTTTATCTTTGTACTTAAAAGCAACCTGCGGGCAAGATCCTGGTATTTGAGAACGTTCATGAATATTCATCAAGTGGTTGAAACGTCAATCAAAACATGTGGAGGACGCAAAGTGGCATAATTCAAAGTATGGTAAGGCAAAAGTAAGCGAGTAATGTTTGCTTTTCTATATAAACACGTGCAAGAAAAATCCTGCATTTGCCTTGCTAAAGTCCTTCAGAAGACGAAACTAATCAGCGATGAATAGTTATTGAGCTTGTCTTTTTATTCATTTTAATTTTGTTGCTATAAACATACATTCTATCTATTTACACAAATACCCACTCTCTCACACACAGACACACACACGCACACATGCATACATTGATATATATATATATATATATATATATATATATATATATAAATATATATATCACAAAGTAATTATACAAAGCATTAATTAGCAATGTTAATGTGATTAATGGCGAAATCACTTCACTAACAAGACTTAATGGTATCTGTCTATATTTCTGAGATGAGGTATTATGTACACTATTTACATTATTCGGACTATTGTCCTCATCTTTGTCGCAATATTTATTACAACGTTTCGGCCGTTTTACGCTCTGGCCTTCTTCAGGTCGTTGGAATATCGAACTGAACCTTTTATTTCGCTCACTGTGGTAGACTGTTCTATTTCCACGTGCCATGTTTTAATGGATGTCAGTTATCAGTTATCTCCTGTTAATTCCCCTCTCCAAGTTCTCCACTGCCTTAACCGGGTATTGAACTCACTCTCTTTGTGTCCTGTGAAAGGTATTGGTTAGATCCAGTGACAGGACCCAAAGACGCTTTACTACCCACTTGACGTGTGATTACCAAACAAGGGTGCGTATTAAACATGAGTAGAATCATTTTTCACACTTTCATCAAAATTTTAGTGGTGCGTACTATGAATGAAGGCGTATTATACATGAGGAATTACGGTATTCAAAGAAGACTTCGAAAATAACTAATAGTGATTTTTTTAATTTTTTGAAAAAAACAAACCCCAATACAATCTTAAACTTTCTTAAAAAGTTAAACTATACAAAAAATATAATACTAATTAAATATTTGACGATACAAAAGGGACCTTTGACACTTACCAGGTGAAAAATTTTGAAAACAACACAACTCTGAAAGCAATGGATATTTTTAAAAAAGAAAGACAACACTGAAAAAAAAATACGTAAGAAATCCAACTTTATCCAAAAAAAATAACCCAAAAACAAAACAAAAAACAAACAAACAATGGTTTGACCTTAAATGATCTCATAAGGATTGATAGGTCCTTAAAGATTAAACAAACAAAACAAAACAAAACAAATATAAAAATGTAAAGAATTTGGCATAGAGTTTTTTTTCAAGAACCTGCAGAGAAAAAAAGTATACACCCCAAGGGCATTCTTGCTGACATGGTTGGTACATTAGGAGATGACGTTCCAGATTTATCACCAGTGCTAACTTTCTGGCGATATAAAAGCTAACAAGACCAAACACTCAAAATCTGATGAAAGTTGAATTGTTCCATTAGGGCTTGCTCCAGGACACAGGTCTTTGGATTCATTCGCGCCTCTGCATGACTTTGGCTTTGAGTTGGTTGATCATCCTCCCTATTCTCCTGATATGGCTATCATCTTTCCCCCAACATGAAAGAAAAAATACGTGGGTGCGAATCAGCTGTTGATGACAACTTTGAGCAAAAGTCTTTAAACAGTCAGTTGTGACTTTACATGAAAACAATACAGTTATTAATAAGAAAAGTTTAAATTAATACATGCAAGATTTCACATGTCTAGCATCATGCCTTCATAGTCAGCCTATGAAATTTTCCGTTGAACCAAAATACATACAAAATTTTTAATATCTAATATATTTCTAGCTGAATAACTCAAAGGGTTTTTCAGTGATTCTTACAAGTGTTGTCAAGATGGCTAAACGTCTTTTCTGAAAACCTGGGGAAAAAAAGAACTCAATTAGTTTAGTGGTTCTTTAGATAATAAACATTTTGTGGGATGGACATGATTTTAAAAATTTTGCTTCTACACTCAATATATATATATATATATATATATATATATATATATATATATATATATATATATATAAATTAATCACACATAGAATTGCGAGTATCAATGTGATTATTGGCGACATCCATCACTAGGATAATATCTCGAAAATCCTGTTCATGGATGAACAGTTTTTAACGCATATATTATGTTTTCTAGTGACGGATGTCGTCAATAATCGCATTGATATTTTGATTAATTCTATGTGTGATTAATTTTGTATGTAAATCATATGCTGCCTAATGTTAATATATATATATATATATCCTCCATTCAGCCCTCTTTTTCTTTCTCACTATGTATCTCTCTCTCTCTCTCTCTCTCTATTTTCTCCATATATATATATATATATATATATTTCTTCCATATATATATATATATATATATATATATATATATGTGTGTGTGTGTGTGTGTGTATATATATATATATATATATATATATATATATATATATATATATATATATATATTCAAAACTAGGTAATCCGTATGGGTAGATCCAAGGAGGATGATATCCAGAGAGCTCAATGTAAATTCAGAGCAAATAAATGTGAATAAAACAGACCACTTTTAGGATCCATGTAATAAATTATTTTACCACAGCCTTTTAAAGGCTCTGGATCATCAGACTTTACTTCCAATGGTTGAAATGAAAAATGATTATTTTTTCATTTCAACCTTTGGAAGTAAAGTCTGATGATCCAGAGCCATTTAAAAGGGCCGTGGTGAAATATTTTATTACATGAAACTTTAAAGTGGTCTGTTTTTATTCACATACATACATATATATATATATATATATATATATATATATATATATATATATATATATATATATATTATTATTATTATTAACTTTTATTCTGACGATCGGCATAGTTTCTGACAACGAGCAAAGTAGCAGAATACTGTAGAGTCATCTACCTTGGTACATTTGAGTCTGTCTAGCCTTTACCTGCGAGGTGTTCTCTATTCGCTACATAGCTCTTTGCTCCAGCGAAAAGAATAAACCTCTACTCCACTCGATCCGGGGTCATCGCATCCCAGTTCGCAATCATGATATAAAATTCCATTATAGACATTTTACACTGGTCCTCCATGAGCGCAACGCGCCCAAGCCTTATGAGACGCCGAGCCCGGAGGATGGGAGACAGTGATTCGTTGTCAGCTCTTTTGAGCACTTCTATATCCGGGACAATATTTGGCTATTTAATTTAAAATATATATTTTTAAACATTTCATGTAAAATCTATTTAAATTCATCCCCTGACGCACATCCATGGTCCACGTCTCACTCCCATAAAGAAGGCTTGAGAAGTCGCATGTTTAATAATTAGTGACACATATATTGGGTAGTGATATATAAATGCTTATATATCAATATCACTTCAAGAGAAAAGAACCTTAACAAAGTGGAAAAAGTTTTTGAGTTACGCGTTTCGTCTTTT